TTTAATTGTTCCCTCTCATGATCAGTGTACGTTGCTTTCTCGTCAAGACTTTTAGTGGATATTTCGTTTTGTTTTTAGCCCCGTGGTGTCGTTAGCAATGGGCACCGTTTTCTGTGCTGTGTGGTTAACGTTTTTATCGAATCCGGAAACGATGGTCGAAGGGGTTCATCATTATCGATCAGCGGTGTTCATGTACGCGGCGTCGTTGTTTATCGAAAGCTTGGCAGAACCGCTTTGGATCCTGAGTCAGAGTTTCAACTTTGTTCTTCTTAAAGTAGACGTTTCGTTGCGCCAGGTGAACGACTGAGTCGATGTTGCAGGTTGCCATCGACGGTCTCCATGTGACGTGTCGTCAGATTCTCTTTCTCGCTTTGGTGTTGATTTTCCCTCACTGGTCGCTATTCAGCTTCGGATTGAGCATGGTACTGAAATTTATAATCTATGTACCTGTCTGCATAGTTGAGAATCATAACTGACTATGGCAACAAAGGCAACAGGGATTACATTTTTTACCGATTATTAAATATAATAAGCATCAGTCAGGCGGGTCAAAGCCAGTTGCAGTCGTATTGGACGCCATGGCCGTAACTCATTCATTCTTGCATTATCACATCAGAATATCACACTCTCCATATTGTTCGTTGGGTAAATTTTGTGCTTGAGAGAAAAGTATGCAAAAACAAATTTTGTATATTTCGGGATTCAAACCCCTCAACTCTATGGTTTGTGGCCAACCTTTTTTACCACCGTGACACCGCGCCTTAAAATCTCGCAGCTAACAGGATCTTGTGCAAGTCATGACAAATATTAGAATCTGATGTAGAGGTAGATAAACATTCTGTGCGGCTCTTCAGGTTGGATTTATGTTACCATATAACTGCTGAAAATGATACATAGAGGAACAGTTCACACTGTTGTTCAAACAATGAACACCAACCTCTCAAATTTGAGAAGATTGATGTTCACCAACAAACCCTTCCGGCGTGTTGAAAGAAGCACAGTGATTAAAGCCACGACTTAATCCCCTTGCCAGACTCCAATCAGAGAAGCGAAAGGACTGTCAGATGAGGAGATTTAGAGAATAGGAGCATCCTTCATCATGTCTTGCGATAGCATCGGCCGGAATAACGAATACCAGCCTTCGGGAGATTTCATCATTTTCATAATCCTTGAAAATAAACCATGAAATTAACAGAATGGACCATTAACATACTGTTTTGCTTAGACCCTTCGAGTTGCTATCTGCAACACAATCAGTCGTCTTGTGAGAAATGAAGGCCGTATAATAAAGACCCTAACATCTATAATGGTTTATCACCCTGTAAAACAGTAATTTATAATAAATAAACCGTGGAACCAGATTTTATGCTATTTTCTAGTAAGCGTAATTCTGTCAATCCGTTATACACAGCGTTATTGCATTGCCTTAACGTTTCCCGCATGGAACTGTATGTGAGTAATCGCAGTGCATGAATCCATCTCGCATCATTTTATTAGCTGAAGGAGTGTCTTTGCTCATAGTCAGTAATATTTTGGATCAGATACGCATTCCGCAACATCGCAAGGTGCTTTCATACGCAAGAAATTTTGTATTGAGTATATCTTCTCCAACTCAAGTTACATAGCGCGATGATACCCCCTTGCTCCGAGGTCCGTCTATGTGCAATTTATATGTTTTTTCCTTGCTATTTAATCCACTCTTCCATGCACAAGCTATTCGACTTATAAATTTTCGTGTACATTTTTCATTTT